TTTCGGTAAAGGATTTGGGTTTTTACTAATATACTTGAAAACCGAAACTATTTTTCAGGAAACTATGAAAAAATTAATCATTTATCTGTGAGATACTTCTTTTATTACTTGTTTTACGTTGTTATGAACTATTGTTGGCTATTGGTGTTGGATCCAACCTTTGTTTCAGCTCGTCACTACTTTCAATCTAAGGTTAGGTTTGTTACTTATTGAGTACATAGGGTCGATTGTACACATACTACACTTATGCCCCTTGCGTGCAAATATTGGCTACTGATATTACTATAATCGACGGGAGCTAGAATTGAATACGTACCTACATTCCGGTTGTAGCTGCTTCTTGTTCATGGAAGCCTTAGAATATAAAAATATGTTTATGTACTTTTCGAACAGATAATGTATTTATTTCATACCAGCTTTGTAAATTCTAATCGTAGAAGCTCATGATTTGTACTACCAGTCCTTGGAAAATTTATAAGATTCAGATAATTTCTTTTATTTATTTGTTTATACATTTTTATTGGAATTGGATAGTTGTTAATTGGCTTACCTAGCGGGTTGGGTTAGGTGCCATCACGACTAGTTTGATTTTGGGTCGTGACAGATGTATTGAGGTGACGCACATGCTAGGTGACGAGCGTGTGGGCATGCTCCGGGAAATCATGATTTTAGTTGACTATTAGACTATGACTAGACTTGTTTTGTTGTTATATCTTGTTACCTCCATGTTCTCCCTACTTGTTTGATTATATGAGTTGTGAATCATGTTAGAAATTATGTTTAGGCTGTATGCTTATTCTGTTAGGACCCACTGAGGTCATCTCTGCTGTTGAGTTATCTACTTGAATTGCAATTATACACTCAGTAATATTCATTCATTTGCATATCATATCCCAGTCTCTGTTGTCATTTGTTGTTACATCATGTTATAATTGTTTGGGCTGATTGGCATGAGATTTGTGAGCTCAAGAGACTGGAGAGATTGATGACTGAGTTGAGGCCTGAGAGCTATGGTGTGAGTGATATTGTGGATTGGGTTGCACGCCGCAGCAAGCCATATTGGCTTTATATTATTATTATTATTATTATTATTATTATTATTATTATTATTATTATTATTATTATTATATGGCCACACGCAGTAGCAGGCCTTATAAGTTTTATTATTATTTATGGGATCGGGCTGCATGCCGCAGTAGGCCATGTTGGCTTTATATTAGAACTTGGGCAGGATCTATCCTTCCGGAGTCTAACATACCAGTAGTGAGTGCAAGTACCGAGTGCCGAGTGATTGAGTGTACCGAGTGATTGAGGGTGAGACAGTGAGATTGAATACTTTGAGAGTGTGAGTCCATGTATTTATCACTGTGATGCATTACATTTGACATACATACTTGGCGTGTAGGCATAGAGGTGCATTTCCTCAAGCTAAATGATATTGTGACATTCATGACTTCATATGCACATTGACATGTAGGCATAGAGATATACTTTCTTCATGCTATCTGATAATGAAATATCTTATCTGTTGTTGAAAGTTTTTGAGAAAATCACAGTTTTTCTGATAAACTTATTTTTTTAAATTTCAGTGAAAGAGTTGGGTTTTACTGTTATACCTGAAAAGCATGCCTATTTTTCATAACAGTGAACGAGCTGAGCATCATATCATTGAGTTACTACTTGTATTTCTTTTATTATATTATTACGAGTTGTTCTTGGCTATTGATTTTGGTATCTAACCGCTTGTCCAAGCTCGTCACTGCTTTCAGCATAATGTTAGGTTTATTACTTATTGATTACATGGGGTTGGTTGTAATCATACTACATTTCTGCACCTTGCATGCAGATTTTGGAGCTGATGTTGCTGCATGTGGTAGGTGTTGGCATTAAAGATGTACCTGCGTTCCGATTATAGCTGCATCTTGTTCTTGGTATCTTTAGATTTATAAATCTGTTTATGTATATTTCGAAGATATGATGTATTTATTTCATAATAGCTTTGTAAACTCTAAATCTTAGAAGCTCATGATTTGTACTACCAGTCCTTGGGAAGTTGTACAGAAATTCAGTTATTTCATCATTGTTTTCTCAGTAAATCTCATTTGAATTAGATTATTGTTAATTGGCTTACCTAGCAGGTTGGGTTAGGTGTCATCACGACTAGATGGATTTTGGGTCGTGACAGTTGGAGACCTCGTCCTTAAAAAGGTGTTCTAGTCCATACAGGAGGTGAATTCAGCAAAATTAGACCCCGAGTTAGGAAGGTCCATATCGAGTTTGAGCCATTACTGAAAAAGGAGCGTACGAGTTAGAGACCGTGGATAGGAAATTGTTATATTCCAGTTGGAATGCAATGCATTGAAAGAAGTACTACTTTTGAAAAAATACCCACGATTTGATATCTCTTAATTCATTATTTATTTATTCATATAAATTTTACTAACATTTTTAGTTGGTAGACACAAATCTAACCCAAATCAAACTAATGACATTATTAGACCCAAAAAAAATGCGCAAAATATTTTATTATTCTCGATCAAGTTTATAAATTTTTTTATGGAAAGGATTAAGCATAGTCTTCATCTAAAAAGCCTCGAGTTTCGTACATATTTTCTTTTTAGGAAAAGGACCGACGAGATAAACTGACAAATAAAGATCTAGTGTTCAAGTTTTTATATTTCAAACTCAAATATTGGGGGACTATATAAGTGTGCATTTTGAGGAGAATTTCAAGACCTTGAAGAAACTTGAAGAAGAACCGCAAGGAGGAGTGAAGAATCGAAGAAGAAAACTTTAGAAAATTTCATAAATTTCTAATATAAGTTGAGACTACAAAAATAGTGGCCGGATAAAATATTCCCAAGGTCTACTTGTCAAGTGAAAATCAATCTTGCTGTAAGAAAGCAATTGTTATGATGATGTATTTGATTATTAATTTTGAAATTTCAAATAAAATTTCCCTAGTTATTTCATATTTTTACACCAACATAAAGATGAAACGTCATTTATATTAGTATCCATTGCATGAAAGGGACCTCTTGTATGATTAAGCCTGTATATATTTAGATACGGTAATATTAAAAGCATTTAATCAATTGAAGTAATGCAGTAAAAGACTCGAAAAATTAAGCGTGCAAAAACTAAGCGTACATAAAACATATGAAAAGTTGATAAAAAGAAAAGGTCTTCAAAAACAAACAAAAATTTCAGCTATAATAAAAACTAAGGCTCAAAAGGAGCATTTTGAGGAGTAAGATTGCCAGCTGAAAAAAGAATCAACTTGTGTGTGTGTGTGTGTGGGGGGGGGGNAACTTTTATCTTTTGGGGTGGAAAAGCTTTGGCTTTGCTGAATTGTCTCACTGACCTCTTTCGCTTTAGCTAGTTCAACTTCTAGATCAAAATATGTTTGGCTGGCTTCAGTTAAAGTTTGGAAACGAGTGCGGAGATAAGCTCTGTGAGTTTGTACCATACTTGAATTTTTTATCACTTTTAATACTTAAATAATCTTTAAGTTTAATCTTGATATATTAACTTTCGTTTCACCTCTTTATAAGTTTTACTTAAAAAAATTAGAAATCATAAAATTAAAATTTAATAGAAAAGATTCACATTATTGTATAAGTTTTATCGTTTTTTCATTTACAAAAAAAAAAGTTCATAAAACTATATTTTCTATTAAATCTAGTAAGCTAGTAACTTTGGTAATTTTTTATTTCTCTTTAGTAGTTTTTATATTTTGTTGGTCTAGAAATAGTTAGTTAGTAGTATTTTTATTTGTGATCCTTTAACATAAAGCAAAATAAATAAATAAAAGACTAATAAAAGTTGACACCTTGCATAACTAACTTTATTTCTTATTATCATTTTGGCAGAATAGCCTAATAGACACCTCTATTTGTTCCGTTTGTCATTTCGGTCTCGATATTTTTTAAGGTTTCATCCAGATACTCATAGTCGTTAAAACACATTACTTTAAACCCCTCTGACTGTTGAGAGAGCATATGTGGCAACTTGATGGTCGAGTTGGACAAAATATGTGAATTTCACGCTTGTGAGGAGCGTAATCATAAAAGTTAGACGAAAAATAATTAAAATAAAAAGAAAAACAACAACAATAACATACCCAGTATTATTCCACACCGTGAGGTATGAGGAGGATAGTATGTACGCAGACCTTTTTTTTCTTTATAAAAGTAAAGATAAAAATATAAAATAATAAAAAAGAAAATATGCCTCCTTCCCCACGCCTCCCCCATTTCTTTTTCTCTTATGTAGTTCCCGTTAAAAGTAGTTGTTAAATTAGTGTGTTTTAACAATTACGAATGTTTGATGAAATTTTGTGGAATATAGAGATCGGGATGACAAATCGACAAATAGAAATATTTATTAGGCTATTCTGCCTATCATTTTCTTCACACATAATCAGCCGTGCACTTTCACGCAATTTACCTCACAGAAGTGCATATAAATGCACAGCAAATTGATAGGAATATAATTTTCCTATATTCTTGGAAGCCATCACATGGAGCAATATACCGTAGAGGATGTTTGGCTAAGCTTATAAGCTGGTCAAACTGGCTTATAAGCACTTTTTGACTTATCTATACGTTTGGTAAAATTAAAAGTGCTAATAAGTTAAGTACTTATAAGCCAAAAATAAGCCAAAAGTCATAAGTTGGTCTCTCCCAACTTATCGAATTTCAGCTTATAAGCACTTTAGGTTTGACCAAAATATTTACTATTATATCCTTAAAATACTTCTTTTTAAAACAAAACTCTTCGTATACCCAATTCTTTAGGTGCTTATTATTAATTTCAGCACTTTTATCCAAACACATAACTGCTTATTTATTAAATCAGCTTCACCACTTAAAAGTATTTTTCAACACCTAATGCTTATCAGCTACTTTAAATCAGTTAAACCAAACGGGATCATATTCTACCTCCCGCAAAAACATCTACACCAGTCACACCTTTCTTTTGTACTCATTAATTCTTATCCAACAAAATTCCTTCACTAGAAACGACCTTTTTCGACTGATCCCAAGTCTCCTTCTCACACAGGACATCTGAGAGGCATAAACAAGGACAAAAATAGAGAAACCCTATAGAATTGAGCAAAATTCGATCTCCCTCTTCACGTTTTCTTCGTCAAAAACCCACGCCATAGCAATTCAGAGGGGACCCAAGATTTGAAGATCGTGGGTACACTTTTGCATTCAACCAAAATCTCCTTTATATATAGTGTGCCGCTACTAATGTAACAGTATTTTTATAGATATATATATGGATACATGACATGTTTCCGAACTTTTCAGAGTGTTGGTGACTCCTCTCAATGCAACATAAGTCCGCCTCTGTATAGCTCACCAGTCCTTGACAACCGGATGCAGCCCTGAAACCTCCTTGTTTCCACTCCAAAACTCCAGCAAATAACCTCCAAAACTCCGCCTGAAAAACCAGCCATATTCCAGTCCCAACGCAGCAAAAAGCAGGCAAAAAACGCAGCTGAAAACAGCCGCAAATCAGTTGCCGAACCAGCTGAAAAACAGTCCCCGAACAGCCCCAAAAACCACCCCAAACCGCCACCATTTTCAGCTCCAAACTCCAGCCAAAGCACCCCCAAAACAGTCCCCAAACACACCCAAAAAACCAGCTAGAGAAACACCATTAAAGCACCCCCCCCCCCCCAAAGACAACCCAAAAGCGCAGCAAAACAGCTTTCAAAATAAGCCAAAACGACCCTCATGTCAACTCCCAAAACGCCACCACAGGTTCCAGTCGACTCGACGAGCTGTCCTTTGCAGCTTCGAGAGGTTCTATTCGAGTTTGTCCAGCGCGGTCGTGGTCGTTTCTTGAGGTTAGCTGCCAATTCATTACGGGGCTGGAGTTTTCCTTTAAATAAATAAAAAGCTTCCATCTTTAAGGTGCAATCCCTTTCTTTCTTTACTATTTCTTTTATTTGGTTAATTTCATGCTTTTAAATATATGAACCTGCTCTTATTTTGTTGATTTAAGTGTTTCGAGCAAATTGATGACTTTGAATGTTTGATGCCTCAATTAGTTGTTGTTTCTTTGCTTAATATTGTCTCACTTTTTCTCTTGATAAAGAATTTTCACATGAGGTCACGGTAATTATTATGCATATGCTTGTACATTAAGTCGATCGAAGCGTCTTCTTTGAAATTGGGCTAGATATCCGTTGTTGGATTTTCTGTATTTCATTGCTATGATATGCTTGTACATTAAATGTTAATTCGGAAATATTTTTGGGGCTGTCAAGTTGATGTTAGGAAAAAGAATTTGGGATGTAGAGTTGATTTTGATTAAGAGGGAATGAGCTATTATGATCAATTGGACCATCGTTTGTTGAAGAATTGAGCCTTAATGAATCTTGTAAGAGTTGACCCTTTTAAGTACGTATGGGTTTAGATAGAAGCTGATCCAAATGTCAATAGGGCTACGACCTAGCCCATCTTTTCACAACTAATTTACTACATTTCCCCCACAACTTCATATCTATAACTCAAAACTCTTACAACAATCTCAAGATAATTTTGGAAAAACAACTCACAATCGCTAGCATGTTTTTAGGCACGATTAATAAATTAATTATTATAGTTATGAATACGGTTCTCGTGAGATAATTGTGATATGTAATCCTAAAATTCAAATGCGAATTTACGTGGCTTGATCCAATAACTTCAAATAATAATAAAAGTGTTGTGAAATCACGGGTACGTACGCGTGGCGTGATTTTTCGATACGTACAAATAACAAGTGCACATCAACGTGACTTGTTTAAGATAAATTCAATAACTATCTAAATTATGTAATTAAAGGCGATATCAATGCGGTAATGCATAAAAGGTTTTAAAAATGTAATAATCTGGATAAATTAAGCCAAGTGTAATTTGTAAAAGCGACCGTGCTAAATAATGAAAGTCGGGAGTGTCTTACACCTTCTCCCAAGTTAACAGAATTTATTATCCAGTCTTCTGTGTTTTCGTGAACTATAAACACAGTTAAAACTTTCTTGAATTAGGATTTAAAATAAATCTGTGACTTGGAACACTGTGATTAATAATTCCAAGTGGCGACTCTTTTAAAATTAAATAAAACATAAATTTCTTTTCAAACAATGTTGTCCCACCTCCTTTTTGCGCGCCCGGCCCCGAGGGGTTAAATGCGCGAGGGGAGTTTTTCCAATTTAAGTGACAATATTCGAAATGAGATTATTTATTTAATTCAGAGTCGCCACTTGGGAAGGGTTTGGTTTTTGGTGTCCCAAGTCACCGGTTTATCTTGAATCCCAAATCGAGGAAATTTTCGACTTTTCCAAATGAAGTCTGCGAACCAGAAATTCTAAGTAAGGAATTCTGTTGACCCGAGGGAAGGTGTTAGGCACCCTCGAATCCCGTGGTTCTAGCACGGTCGCTTAAATTGTTATAATGGCTAAATATCTGATTTAAATACATGTTGTGACTTATGTGCTTTTATTAAGTTTAAACCGCTTTTATTATTATCATTTATTTTTATAGAATTGCAACGTCGTGAAAATGCATCTCGAACCACGTCACAATCAATGCACCCGTAGTTGTTAACACATTTCGACTCCGTTGAGATTTGAATTTGGGTCACATAAATGCGCACCCGAATTTAAGAATGTAATTTAATTAAGCTGCGCCTAAAGAGTCTGACGCGTTATTATTTTCTGAGAAGGCCATGAGATTCACTGAACGGCCTAGCCCGAATTCTAAATATTATGATTAGTTGTTGAAGGCCCCGCAATTTGCATTTTTTCCTTTATTTGGCGAGGCTCGTCTCATTATTTTTAAAAAAGGATAAAACCTACAATGACTACATTTCTTATTGTCTTTGTTTCCAGAATAGAAGAAGGAAAGATGTATGCTAATTGAAATATATGTTTTGACCAAAAACGGATTACTATCAATTTCTAATCACTTACAAAATGAAAAGACGCCATACCTTATGAAATATTTTTGGTTGAACAAAGAAGCTATATGGAGGTGGATGGAATGCAATACTTAATCCGAACATTTTCTCGAATCGAGCTTAACTAGACTTATTTAAGCTAGGTTAAGGAAATTGAATGCTAGGCATTGTTACTAATGGGGATTCGAACATGTACCTATATGTTGCCTAACGGTCCTGATAAATGGAAAGAAAATAACACAGAACATTATTGTGTAGGTGGAAATATTCTATCCTATACATGTCATTAGTTGACGGGAATCCAGTCGAAAGTTCTATGCCAATTATCCACACCTTCTATATATTATACCATTACATCTTGTACTTAGCAAACAACTAGAAACTAAGATGCAAAAAGCTAAACTTGATTAAGTATTGTCTAACTAATCTTTCACTACTGAATCACACTAATCAATTTATACAACAGAAATCAGTATATCACAAGCAGTACAAAACAGACATCTGAATCTTCTTCAAGAACTCCTTTCATTTCATGCTTTTGAACTGTTACAGTTAACACCAAAGTTGGATTTGAAATGTGTACCTGGAAAACACTGAATACTGAAATGCAAAGAAGAAGTGAAGCAGAAAGGTCAGCAGCAGCAGGAAACCAAATAGCAGCAGCAACAGCAGGTAACCAAATAGAAAGCAAAATCCCAGTGCAAGATGCAGCTGGAACCAATGAAAGATGACAGAGTGTGGCAAGTTCCCAGTAATATGAATCAGAATTTAGGCAAAACAGATCTGGGGATGCACTGATGCTACACACAACTAAAAATCTCAAATAGAACTCAAAAGAAATCGATATGGGACAAGGAAATCCGGCCAGATGAGAATCAAGACAAAGAGGAAAGATGCAGTTCCTCTTTCCTGTGTTATCCTCCCTCTATCTATTTCTGTCTGTGTGTATATATCTGTATGTATTTCCACTCCCTCTTTCAAAAATTCCTCACAATGTGTGTCTTTTCTCTTCTCAAATCTTCAGGGTTCTCTAGCCTCTAATCCTCTAGGTCTCTGTATTTTTCTCAGATGTGCTCCTCTTCTCCCTCTGTGTGTTTTTTTTACAGCTCTCAAGGTCCAGTCCCCTTTATCAGCCTTCATATTACTCCTTTTAACAGCCTGTTTCAAATATCACAGTACCCCTCCCATGTGCCCTTTTTCATTTTCAGATTCCAATTAGTTATTTAAGTATATAACCTCCATCAACATTCCCTGGCAGACTTAACTTTTAAAAGGTTTAATACTTTTTAAACTTAAAGCAAGGTATGGGCAGTAGAATATATCTGACAGCATATGCTGTCAAATTGTTTAAAACTTAACAAAGACCTTTATGCAGGCCACAGGCTGTGCACAAAGCACATGAGGTGCACCAATGCACATGTTGTGCACGAGTGCACATGCCTTCCAATTCANAAAAATCTCAAATAGAACTCAAAAGAAATCGATATGGGACAGGGAAATCCGGCCAGATGAGAATCAAGACAAAGAGGAAAGATGCAGTTCCTCTTTCCTGTGTTATCCTCCCTCTATCTATTTCTGTCTGTGTGTATATATCTGTATGTATTTCCACTCTCTCTTTCAAAAATTCCTCACAGTGTGTGTCTTTTCTCTTCTCAAATCTTCAGGGTTCTCTAGCCTCTAATCCTCTAGGTCTCTGTATTTTTCTCAGATGTGCTCCTCTTCTCCCTCTGTGTTTTTTTTTACAGCTCTCAAGGTCCAGTCCCCTTTATCAGCCTTCACATTACTCCTTTTAACAGCCTGTTTCGAATATCACAGTACCCCTCCCATGTGCCCTTTTTCATTTTCAGATTCCAATTAGTTATTTAAG